CCCCCCCAGTCAGAAGCAGGTCGCCAGGTAGGAAGACAATCAGATCTACAGCCCCCGTGAAAACAGGCAACCTACAGTATCGCCCCCTCGGTCAGCTGGACTTGAGACTGCGCCTGGAAAAGGAGAGGCTGATTGGAGAGTTCCCGGATTTTATACTTTCCAGTCCTGATCTTGGAGACAGTCCTAAAAATGTTGTGGTTTGTTTGCAAAAACGTGAACAATACACTAAAATTTCGGAAACTGTCTTCAAGATTGGAAGTGAGTGGAAGTCGGAAAATCCATTGGGGCTCTCTCCGACCAACCTCGTGGGCCGCATAAACATCTTTCCGATTTGTCTTTCCCGTCTTTCGGCCACCGACCGGAACAGCAGCGCCTTCTGCTTCACCCTGGAGGGAATTCTTCAAAACTGTCTACACCCACCGAGGAAGGGTTGTTTATGGAATTACATTCCAGGAAGGGTATAGTGGACGCAGAGGAGCGCAGGGCAGAGCGCGGAGGAGTTGGGGGAATTGGGGGATGGTAAAATATGGGAGTTGGGTGGCAGAGGGCGTTAGTGAGTGCTTTTGCGTTTTGCTGTAATTTCCTTTTTTTTCTCCCCCAACCTGCAGTATGGACCGTTACATAACCACGGCGCTGTTTCCGCGTGGAAATGGCCCACCCACGTCACACACCGCCACGCCGCTCGAGATGTTGTTGGATGGATGATCGCAGTCATCAAAATCTCTCCTCAAACACTCGCGTGGCTTGTGCCCTTCTGGTGACTCCTGACTGGGCCGGGCGCGGCGGGCCCGCACCACGCTCCGGCTCGCTGATCCCCGTGTGCGTTGTGGCGTCAGCCGGCGGCGCGGTACGGCGCGGCGCGGCCCGCGAGGCGTCAGGCCCGTCAGGCCCAGGCGTGACCCGCGGCCCCGCCGCCCGCCCGCCGCCGTCACCGCGTCTAGCCTAGCGCTGCTGGCGGGGCGCTGAGGGGGCCGCCGCGGACTGGCCTAGGCGAGGCTGTCAGTGCGGCGGCACGTGGTCGCGGCCGCCCGGCCAACCAGCGGGGACCGGCGGCGGGGGTGTGGCTCGTGATCGGCAGCGCCGACCAATGGCGCGCGTCCCTGCGCCCGGCGGCGGGCTGGCGCGCTGCCGGCGCGAACCTGACCGACCGGCGCCTCTCTCCCTGTGGTTGGTTCTCTCTCTCTCTTTCACGTGGGTCCCATGCTGCGGTACTTACTTAGAGAGCGACGACAAAAGGCAAATGTTTTTGGCAAACTTTTTGATCTCTGTCTCTGCCCTCGGTGTGTCAGCCGCCCCCCCCCCTCCCTGGTTGCTCCGCCAGAGAGCCCCCTGCCCACGACTCGCACTGCAGCAGTACCCTTGCCCCCCCCCCTCCCCTCTCCCGGAGAGCTGCTTCGCCGCCGCGCCGTGTGTAGGCGACGCGCGAACGCATAAACAAAACACGGACCGGACGATTATTCTTCCCAAAAAACAAATAGGGGTCATCGGGCATGACTTGCTGACTTGCTGGCGGACGCTGCTCCTCTTCCCGGCTCGGCCTGGAGCTGCTGGACGGAGCTGGACCAGTACCGTTGCTCACATGTTGATAAACAAAGCTATCGCCGCCAGCCCTGAGCGCGAAGAAAAGTCCCGGGAGAAAGTGCTGGGCTAGTCGGGCAAAACACGCAAAACACTGCTGCGCAAATAGGGCGCTGTAGTACGGGCTGTACGTGCACTGTTCTATCCCCCCTCCCTTTGACGAGAGGTGGGGAGAGGTAGCGGTGGCGGCGGCAAAGGATGACCAGGATGATGACGCCGTCAACGAGGCCCGGGGGGCGCAGTCCAGAGCACGGCGACGTAACCCCCGCCACGCCCCGCCACGGCGCAGCAGTGCACCGCGCCAAGAACATACACTGCCGAGATGTGTGTGTGTGTGTGTGTGTGTGTTTTCTTTTCAAATCGTATAGAGATAGCGGCGGCAGAGACAGATAGACGGACAGTACCCGCGCGCAACGGACACAGACTGTGTGCTTCGACACCCGAAAGTATTTTCAGTTAAAGCGCGGTGAGGAGGGGGGAAGGCAGAGAGCAGATGGGATCCCGAGGCAGACGTGGTGTCGATGTCGACATCATCCGATCGAGGAGGCGGTATTTATATTTTGATTGGCGGGTGGTGGTGGTGGCGGCATATGGGCTTTGCCAAGTATCCGCGGCCGCACCAGAGCAGCAGGGCTGTCAGGTGCCGCCCCGCCCCGCCCCGCCCTGCCCGGGCATCTCCCTCTGGACTGATTGCAGTAACACACCACAGAGAGGAGCAGCGGTTCAACAGCCGCTTGCTTTTCTCTGCAGATAGGCAAAGCTGCTCACATCACAGAAGGTATAAATGAGGCGTGCAATCCAATAAACAGTTTTGTGTGTTTTGCATCAATTATTCTCGATTCAAAAAATATTTGTTGGTCGCCTGAGGGTTGATCGGGTGTGTCTCGGAGTTTTTGGGGTTTGCCCACTCGCTCGGGACGCAAGGGGTCAAATAATTTGTCAAGCAAAAGTTGGGTTTATGCAAGCTGTGAATAAATTATTAATTCCGTCCTTATTTTACTGTGGCGTCAGTCCTCAATCCTGTACCTTGACGTCAACTTAAGGGCGCAAACCTGTAATAATAAAAGTAATTTTTACTGTCTTAAAAATATTTGGTCTTTCTTCTGTCGAATGCCTTCAATAACTACTTCAACTTCAAAAGGGGTTATAACGACTGCTTGTTCATAGCGAAGGCAAGATGGTACAAAAGTTCGAAAGTGCGGCGTGGTGGACCAGAAATGTTACGTGCGGTGCCAGCTGGTTTGGGTGGACTGCCGCAAGGTTCGTGTGCAGCGTTCTGATTTTTTTACCCTTTGGACCGAATGTGGTCTACCGGAGTGTCCAGGCAAAGATAGGACCGTACGTTGGGTGGCCTATATGCACTGGCTGCCTGCAGGGGCTGAGACGCGGAGCGCGAGCGCGGAGCAGCTCCCCCGTCGCTCCCCTGCCAGCGCCCCGCACCTGCAGCTCTCGAAGCAATTGCATAGGCAACCCAACGTACTGTCATGGCTTAGCCCGGACACATATCGAGTGTGATGGCTCACACACTTCCCACTAGTGTTGCGGGTTGGCATACCCAAGGGGCTATGGCGCCTTACGGGTAGGCAACCCCGCAACACTGGTGAACCACTGGGCTCAACGGGGCGCAAGCTCTCGAAATGGGAAAGGACAATGTTGTATCGAGTGCGGATTTGTTCTTCAGTACATCTTAATGTATGCAAATTTGTATCTATTTTAGAGGATGTGCTTAAGAATGCAACCGAAGGTATCCAAATTTTCAGGCAATTCCATTGGGGCACTAACCGGCGCACAGAATAATCCTGCTTTATTCTAGTTCGGTGAATAAGATAGGCATGTCTGGCAAACTGGCGCTACGGTACCAGCAGCTAGATTTGGCTCAACCTATTCTTTAAAAACCTACCTTTGGTAAATCGACGTGGCATGTAGTTATAATGTATTATGTAGTGACGGTTTCCCGAAAATCCTGCATTGCACAGACAGGTCTGCCCTCTTCATGCTCTCTTAGCGCTGCGCGCGACTGAAATGAAGGCTTATGTTGGATGCGACGACATACGACACCAGACGACGGCTGCTGAGCCAAACCTGAACCTTGCCCACCCCCGCCCGGCCCGCCGCCGCGGTGACCTATCCCCGGCGGGGGGTTAGCCCGCCCGCTATATAAGCACCCCTTGTTGCACAATAACGGTTATAAATAATAAAATAAACAAATTATCTAACTGTTTCGTCGCCTATTGCCTTTATCTATCACTCGCCCTCCCCCACGACAACGGCGTGGTGGCCTGAAAAGAAACCACAACCCCCGGAACATTGTGTCCTTCACACCAGTAACCCATAACTTTTCCGCCTTAATTGCGTCAAAAACGGTCGTATA